ATCTATAGTTACATCTATATTTATATTCATATGTCCGATACGATATTCTGTGTACTGTTCTGTTCTAGTTTGTTCTTGTGTGTCCGGACTGTGAGTAACTCTTGTATTGTATTGTATGTATTGTACTATTATTATATAATTCGTTACACTGTGGCTGTGTTGTGTGTGTTAAGCTGCTGTTGCACTGCAATTTCCCTCACGGGATCAATAAAGTATCTATCTACAAATATATATATAAAACAGCAGCTACACTGCTTCTATTAGGTTCTTGTGATTCTTAATTAACAGAAGGTGACACTTTAGTCAGTAGAGACACAACAGTAGGCAGAACAGCTGGTAGCTGGTGACTGACTGTTAAAACTCTTCAAATGGAGGTTGGTGACAAGTAAATCGAATTTTCCTCAGGCTTGTATATTGAGTGTGAGTAAGGCTGTCATCTGTTAATTAGAAATTCTCTTGCTGCAGTAGCTTTAAGAGAAGCCCATAGAGCAAAACCTCCTTCTTTTAAGGGACTATAAGCAAGTTCAAGGATTTACAGTATGCATTCCCACTATGACAATACCCCTCCCAAACCACCTTATTTTACTTTGCGTGGATGTTGAAGCAGTTCCTCACTCTGTGCATCAGCCCTCTTTTGCCATTGTATAGCAGCTGATGGGGCTGTTTTAATTAATTATGTAATTATCTGTAAACCAAATTAGACAATAGGTAATCTGTTTAACACACTGGTGAGAAAGACTACTAAAAACCTCACACTTATCAAGATTTATTTTCTTATTGTTACAAAAGTGCAATACCTTAAGACGGTCCCTACAGTGAGCACTTTAACAATGACAAAGGAGGCCATGCCGGGCTGCCATAATACTAACAGGAAAGCTTACAAACACCTGTAGTGCCCACTTGGCAATTTCGCTTTTAGTAAATTATGGATCCAGCCCTTCAGTTTTAAGAACATGACCACGTAGCTTGTTCCAGGGCTCAAAACTTTCTGTTCCCAGGTCCTTGTCTCATTGTTGGATAAGAGGAAACGTATTGGCTTGACTTTGTTCATCCATTTCACAATTTTGAAAGAAAGGATCAACTATCATCTGCTAGGAATTATTCAGATCACTGTGTGGTGACAAATTACTAATTGTGTATTTTGAAAAGTAATTTCTGGTAAGTCAAGGACGTGTGAAGAGTAGAATGTATTCTTTGTCCCAGCCAACATGATGCACAGGATGTGCCAAGATATATAACAGAGTTTTAATTTCTCTCTCTTAAAACACTTTAAATTGTATTGTTTTAGCAATTGTTTTTCCAAAACTCTGCTATGTAATACACAGAATTAGTATTTTCTCTGACTGATTTCTGTATTCCTGTGAAAATGTGTCAGTATTTTTAATTGCCTGAGGTAGTTTTTATTACTTTTAGACCATTCTGAAATTGTTTCCTAAAACTAGGATTGAGGGAAGACACTATTAATTCAAATAAAAATAATGTCAATGCATTAAGAATCAAAATTTTTATTTGGGCATCATAGGCCACAATCTTATAATACTATGTTAAGGGCTCTTTGTACTTGTACTTATAATACTTTGTTAGGAGTCAAATTAGAAAAAAAAAAAACAACAGTTGAGATTTCGCACCCAGAAACTCTGATTTTGTAACTGGAAACAGAACAAAAATGTAATTCATGGAGAGCAAGCCTACAAATGCGACCATTTTGAAAAGTTAATTTCATAACCTCCCTAGAGAAAGAGGAGACATCTTAATTTGCAAGACAAGGCAGCTCATCAATAGATACATCTGAATGTCATAATAGGTTACCTGCACTAAGATCAAAACAAAATGAACATTGAGCTTCAGCTGAGTTGATAATGATGCTATACTCTATATCCCCAATAAGCAGAATAAGACCTCTCCTCATGTTCTAATGCTCCTGAAGCTGGTACAAAATGAGGAATTCTTAAGCCCACTGAAACTGCCTCAAGCTAACTCTTATATAAGTTAAGCTTCTTAGAAACTCCTACTACTTTCCAAGTCTCCATCGAAGCAGAGGTGAAGATCTCCTATTTTACATGGCTTTACACGTGAATTCTTCCTAATGGTATGGGGTCAAGCTGGCCCTCAAGTACCAAGTTCTGTAAATCTTTCGTTGTCATTTTCTGCAGAAAATAGTTTTTCATGGAGACTTTATATCAGCTGCAACATAGCTGCAGGCTGCTCCTGCTGTCAAGCTCATAACATAAAAGTGTTTGCAAAGATTCTTTCTAAACAGATGGAAACACATATGAGTCATCTGAAGAATCATGATCAGACAAGAGCCCTGCACAACCTGCTCCTCTGAGTGGCCACAGGGTTTGTGCAGCAACTCCAAGACGGGCCTAAAAGTCATCTGCAGAAAAGGAGGTAGTGTTCTTTATTAAGCTCCGGCACCAGTTTAACACACTTAAACTGAATCTGTTTTTGGATTTCACCTGAATATGTGCCAACATAAAAAACCTTCAAAAACACTTTCTACTTAATTGTTTTTTCTGTGAACTCTACCATCCTGCTCAAAAATGCCTATTTATAGACACTCCTGCACTCATCAACACAAGAAACGGGCCCCGGTTTCTCTTCTCTTTCAAGGTGCCTGTGACACGCTGTGTCCTGAACCCTGGCTCTGAGCCAGTACCCGATGGCTTCTGCGGTCGAAAATTGTAAGGCTTGGTTCTGGCACAGCTTTACAAAATGAAAATCAAGCTCTGCTTTAAGGCCCTTGGTTTTGTTCAGGTGGGCCAGCAAGAAAAGACCAAAAGTGCTGGAAAAGTATCTAGACCTGTAACCCCATGAAACGGCCAATACGATGGGATTTTCTAGTGGAAGGAACCATCTGGGTACAAATGTCATTGAGGATGTCCATAGAGATAACCTTCATTCCTGACTGAGTCTGGAGGAATAAAAGCTATATAAAAAGTGTCTACAATCAGGGGCTTCCAGTCCTGTACAACACCTGCCTTCAGCTCCAGTTGAGATCTCAGTTACACAACTGAGCCCTTAATTTACATAATCAAACAGAGTCCAAGGACAACTTTGCTCAAATTATTATTATGTTAACATGTTCTTTTTAAAAACCCATGATCTATATTACAAACTATATTCTCTGATAACTACAATAAAATGTTCTACAGGCTATTACTGTGCAGATGGATTGCTTTGGTAACATACAACTTTGCCAGGAATATGAATAGACTTATTCTCAGCACTCCCTACAAAAAAAAGAAGACAATGGAGTTTGATGTTGAATACAAAACCTATTATAGGAACAGTCTCAAATGAGTGCAAGCTGCCTCAACCATCCAGTGCCATTTGGAATACCTACAGAAGAACATGAAGAACCTGGAAATTTCCTTGCTTCTTCAGATTATTGAAGTGAGCTTCTTGGGACTCACAGGGGAGTGAAAATTCTTTTTAAGAAACAGACATGGAAAGCTAACATTCTTCCGTGTATTTGTTTGGGCCCTACACCCTAGTCCCGCTCAGATCATTATCTGCATCAGATGGCTATGTAAAATGCAATTGCAGGTGCAATGAATAAAAAGATGCGTATCACATAAACAATACAATATATTTTTTTTCTCAGATTATTAGTAACTAACAAGAATATGCTGGGTTACAATCAGCCCTTCCAAAAGTGTTTTAAACAAGAATTACAATGACAAAGAAAAAGAACCATCTATTGAACAAAGCACGGGTTACATTAAAAAAAACTCAGTGGAAGTTTACAAATAACACTTCAAAACATTTTTCCAAAGTTGTTTCAAATCCTCTCAGATTTATGTGTAAGATTTTATTTGGTGCAGATTGCTTTCTCAGGTCATTCCGGTGCATAGCAGTTGACTTCTCAGATAAAGAATGGTCCTTATCAGAGAAGTCATAAAGGACTGGGATTGGTACAGAACTGAACTTGCTCCAGCAGCAACAAAGGCAAAGCAACCTTCATCATCTCACAGGGACAATAAAACACTGCAAGCACTGTGCAAGCTTACATAAGCAGCAGATGAAATACGTACACCCCTTGCAAACAGCTTTCAGCAATAACTGTAGCCTTGTGCTTCCCTACAAGCTGACAGAAGAAAAGAAATGTGCCACACATTTTCCATTTAAACTTATTAGCTAGGAAAAAAGACACTAAACAGTAACTTAAAAAACAGCTTGCTCTAAACCTAATTTTAACACACTGTGATAAATGCATGTCTTCGGGAGAACAAAAACACACCTGTGACACTTAAGAACTTGATGTAAGGATTTTAAATCAAGAAAAATAAAATGCTGCACTAACACCCTCCATGGAATACACCCAAAAGGTGGATTTTTTTTCATTGAAAAAACAGCTATTTGTTCAATTAATTAAACATTAACTTTTAAAAACAACGAATTACTCCAGCAATGGACAAGGCACTGAGTAATTTACTACAAGAATTCTGAGATGCTACGTCGACTGTTTCATGATTCAAGCCCTCGCAGATCCCAGAGCTAGTAAGCTCTACCATATGAGCTCATCTTTTATCTTACATCAGACAACCTTTGTTGAACTCTTTAAAATGACCAATGTGTGTAAAATAAAAACTTTACAGAGGACCAATTCTATTTGCAAGTCATTCCCTGTAAAAATGTATTGCATCTGATACAGGGGGAATAACCTACAGTTACATAGTGTCACACCTATTAGTATCATCATCATTGTAGTACAGAAAAAGGGAAACACTGGCCTAGCAGCTTCACTGGTTAATTTAAACGAAGACAACTATTATAGTTTTGTTAGCATTTCCAGGAACGTTTACGTCATTTTGCTGAATCGGCAAACGAGTCCTTCTTTTACAGAATGTTTAGCTCATCTTTTGAAGAAAAAGAAGAAAACTGGTGCCACTTCTGGATGTTTCTACTACACACTGTCTCTCCTTTTAGCTTTTTTCTCCCCGTTTTGCTGTTTTAGAATGCGCCCCAGATATCTCAGACTTCTACAAGTGGCTGGCTTTGTGCAACACTATCTGCAGTGAATTAAGCCAGGGTAACACTAATAGTTCTGCGACTCGTTCACATTGTCTTTGGATATATTAGATCAAGCTGCTTTTAACTAAATGTTTATCAGGCTGAAGGTATTTGGTGTTACAGTTACCCCCAAGGGCCTCAGTCACATATACATCACCTTTCTTTATCTACCATGGCAAATGGTCTCAGGAACATGTGCATGGCATCAACTAGTTACAAACAGTTGGATTTGCAACAAGATCTAACATGACAGGTATGCAAATGCTCTGTATGTTGTGTCAAAAGAGGCATGTAAAACCAATTCACTGCAAAGCTTCTAATTGGATAACATTTAGATCCTATCAACAAATTTTCTGCTGCGCCTTCACTTTGAAAGTCAAACAGAAACTAAGCTAAACACCTTGAGAGAAAGATGGCATTTTTGTAAGATTTCACATTGTCCTACTAGGACAACTATTATTCCTTAATTAAGGTTTGCTAGATACATTTTAATATAGACTTTTGTAAAAATATATTTAATAAAAGTATGCTGTGCAACAACCACCCATAAACTGACACTGACTGCGAACTAAACTGCCTTTCCAGAGTATGGACAAGTTTTAAATCTATTTGTGATGTGGACCATGTCTACAGTTCTCTTACAAATGCAAAATTCTAATTTAAAAAACCTAGTACCTCGCCGCCAAACTCAAAATTATGTATTAATCATTCAAATATTTTTTTTTTATTGTGCTATACGCATCTTGAAAAGGCAGCGTGTGGTATATAAGGCATTGAGAACTTTTTTTTTTACCAGCATTAATGACTTAAAAGAGAACTTTACATAAAAATACAACTTTAGAATTTCCAAATAAAAATGTAAAAGCCTCCATTTGATTTGTCATAAGCAAGAAATCCAAAAAGAGAAATTCATATGCCTAAAGTAGCCTGTTATCTCAAAAAAAAGTTGGTTTACCTGCAACTGCTTTTCTTTGCATATTTGATTACTTTCATGGACTGAGGGTTTTGTCTGAAGGAATCACAGTTCGACAAATAAAAGGCAGGAAGGAAAATAAAGGGTAAAAAAACATATACATAGCAAAATGCACCACTTGTTTACCTGATAGCCTTACAGTAGAAATATGTACAGTCTGCAAAAAACAAGTTACTAAAGTTCATATCCCTGCAGAAAAGCCAGCATTGAGGCACGTGCTTTATTTAAGGTTCATTGGTAGAAAAATATGGCTAAGAAAAAAATAAAATAACTGAAGCATTTCAAAGCAAACATCTTTCCCCAAAAGCAGCTCCACTCAGAGCTTGAAATCAGCAATAGGAATTCTTTGGGGGCACGTCTGTCACGTCTACCTCTCCCATGGATTTTGAGGTAAATTAGAAAATTCACACCAAGTAAGGAGCAGGATAAACCAGTGGCATTCAGAAGAGAATCCTTTGTTAATCTCTAGAAACAGTCTCAGGTCTGTAGTAAGCCAGAAATGCTAACACCCCTCTCACCTTCTAACACGTCTGTGAATTTTTCAGGAAGTCAGCCCTACGCACAGAAAAAGCGCCTTCCACAAATTTCCCGTGAGCAAGAAGACATCGGAATTTTGGAGCACCATCACTAGGAAAGCCCTGCAACCCAGCACTTGCTAATTACAAGCCCTGCAGAAAATCCTATATGAATATCCTAAATATTACAAAGGAAGTCGCCGTTTTCAGTCACTGCTGTCGTCTTCGTCGTCGTCGTCCGAAACGCTGGGGGCGGGGAACTTGGAGGAGCGGCTGTAGGAGTCCGACCTGGCGGGTAGGCTCGCGGCCTGCCCGCCCGCCAGCTGCTCGTAGCAGAACTCGCAGACCCGCACGGGCTTCGAGGACTGGCTGGGCAGCAGGAACTTCTTCTCCGAGCAGGGCCCGCACACCACGAAGCCGCACTTGCGGCAGTGGTGCCGGCGGCTCACGGGCGTGAACTTGATCTTCTGGCAGCGCATGCAGACCGTGGCCTCCGAGTCGGGCACCCACACGGCCGCGTGCTCGCTGCTGGGGGACTTCCCGCTCTTCTCCAGCAAGTCCGACACGCACTTGTTGATGTGGTTCATCCACTCCGACTTCTCCGTGGCCGTGGCGGCGTAGACCGCGAACGACTTGGTGGGGGTCTTTATGAGCCAGCCGTTGCGCAGGTCTCCTTCGTCCTCGATGGAGTCGATCGTGACGTTTTCCAGCGGGATGATGTGCTGCTTGTTGTACTTCTTCTTCTGGATCACGATGTTCCCGTACACCAGGATGTCGTTGAAGAGGAAAAACTGCCTGGCTTTGGGCTTCTTCCGGCAGAGTTTCGTCAGAACTCCCTCTCCGATAAGGACGCGGCCGGGAATGGCCAGGGGCTGGCCGGCTGTCCCAAAGCAGCCTTCCACTAGTGCAATGCGCTTAGAGTTTGCTTCGCTGTTAGCCAAGCGATCCACCATCTTTCTTTACCTGCAACAAAAAACAAAGAGAGCAGCTCATGAAGAGATCTAGAGCAACCTCTCAAAACATTATTTCTCTCCCCTGCTGTGGTTGTTCAGGACATCTCAATCACCATCAGGTTGGCGACGTTAGAATTATAATGAAAATCCATTTGTTTTATCTCTAAAGACAGCTTCTGGAGAAAAAAAACATCACTTTCACAGCAGGGTGTGTAGCTGATGATTGTGGGCTTAAGGATACAAGCGTTCAGCTGAGCTCTTTGATTTCATGCACTGACCCAGAACTGAATTGTACAGTGACAAGGACTGTTTTTTGTTCACGTGCAGTAACCACTAAGAGTCAGGCGCATTATCAACACCAAGAACCTTACATTTTTAAACTGTACTATAAGACGTCTACCAAGACCTTACAATTATTCAGTGTGAAATGCACTTCACAAGAAAGATTTGAAAAGAAAATACTAATTTTCTTTAAGCTCTATCGGGGTCACTGCACTTTGAAAATCATCTTGCACATTACTGACCCCAGGCATCTTGTGTTCTACTGCACATGCGACCACGATACATTTCATCAAAGTGAACTACAGGCTCTTCTAAAAAGCATGAAAAATGGGTCAGCACACAAAAAAAATAATTCTGTGCCTATGACTTTAACACACTTCATGAGTTCTAATTGTTTTTTGAATGTATGGAGCATCTGAAGTATTTTTGGTAAATCAACCGCATTAACACAAACCTCTATCTTTAACTAAACCAATCAGATGTCCTTCCTGTTTTTAAGTCTCTGCAAGATGCACCTTCTTCCAACTACTGAAAGCTTTTTCTGAAATATTTTAGAAATAAAATGAACACATTAAGCAACACAAAGTAAAAGGTATTTTTAATTGGAGTGATTCTGTGTAGTCATGGACTCCAGCAAAAGCCCAGTTTTTCCCAACACAAAAGTTAGTTGTTTATACACAGCTTCTAAACTCACAAAGATCTGTGCACATTTTACCACGCAACAATAATGCAATTATATAACATGCAGTAACAAGTACAAACACTTTTCCTATGTTACTATAACAGTAACAACAACACTGTGATGAAATACGATTACTAAAATACACTGCAAAACACTTAGAAAGATGAACAGACTTTGGCATTTAGTTAATCTTCTTCATCTGAATGAATCACCAGCACCAGAGTAGGTTTACCCAACCAGACTTTCCAATCAATCTTGGAAATTAAATGCAAAACTTAACATCTGGGATTTGACTCCAGAACCCTCTGATTCTGCTTACCCTCGTCAAAAGCTGAAGCTTGTTTTAGACAGACACAACAGCACAGAAAATGAATTGCACCGAGCTGATTCTGCCATTTAGAAATGACGGTCTTACGATATTTGCGACTTCTGGGGTGTGGCTCCTGCCTTGCAATCTCAAGTCACAGGCTGGTGCAAAAAAAGCCAACATACAGACAGCAGCACGGCCAGCTTGTAGCCTGATCTGATCCCAGAGCCTAAACGAGGCTTGGGGAATGGTCAGTGAGCAAAGCCAGGCCAGTGCAGTAGGTGGTGTTGGTGGATCAGCAGACGGTCGAAAACACCACAGGAAGTGCCATCCTTCAGATAAGACATTAAACTAAGGTCCTGACGACCCGGTTACTGAAGTCTCCATGATTCTAGATAGACAGATAAGACTTTATTGATCCCGAAGGGAAATTGATGTGTTACAGCAGCCCAAGACAAGCAAAAAAAACAGACATCAGAATAGACGAAACATTAGAATACGTACAGTAATACAAAATAAATATAAAATAAAGGAAATAAAAATAAAAATAAATATAAATAAGCTCCGTAGAGTAGGAGAGTTAACCCTGTTTAACTGGATAAATGTCACTAAGCTTGAAGACTCATCTCCCTAAATATCCCCCTTAATTTAACTAGTGCAGAATTTTGTGAAGTGGGAGTGTTGGTGCAGAAGGGCTGTTGTGCGTCACCCAGGTGGGAGCTGCACTACAGCCCTTTCTATATATAAAGCACATTGGACTCCTCCGGGCTGAAAGATCCTATATGAATTTAAGACATTATGTAACTGCATGTTAGAAAATGTAACTGGCAATGACCTTTCTGAATGTCTGGTCTACTCTGACCAAAAAGACATGGAAAACGGAGCCCGCAGAACAGAACTTCTGATGACTTTGGTTCTGCATGGCTGTTAGTCACAAAAGGGGGCGTTGTTCTTATTTGCCCCTGCCGTCGGTGCTGGATCACACTTCATCAACAAAAGTTACCTTACTCTACCATACAATTTTCTCCTTTTCATGGGTTTAGTTTGATAATAACCATGTAAAAAAAACAGCTTACTGCCAAGGGCTTCTATGGACATTACTGAATCACCCTGAATTTCTATGTGAGATATGAGCACATTGCATATTCAGCCCACACTGTCAGGGGCACTGCACATACTGAAAAGTACAACTAGAACCTAAAGAACATGTCCTGATATCATCCTGGGAATGTTCAAGGGGTCTGTACAGTAAGTGCATGAACACTCGCATTCTGGAAACATTCCATTAAGACATCAGTGCATTCTATTTCAGAATGGTGGGTTTCCAATTGCGTGGAACAGAATGTGCTTTTCCCCCAAGAGAAAAGTGTGAGTGGGCACTCTTTTTAAAATATAAGTGCACACACTATGCTAAAGGAATTCTGACCCAGTGTTGTACGACAACATCAATCGCATGTCAAATATATTGCTAAAAAGATAAAAGTTCAGTTTCACTTTCAATGATGTAACTCCAAAAGTTCCGAAGACCCTCCCTCTAAGTGACGTGAGCTTTATTAAATGATTCAATACTTTTGTCAACAGCTCAATATATTTCATTTTAGGATGCCAGAAAAAAAGCCTTCTTTCAATCAAACTGACAACGCTTTAATGTTGTGTTGCAGTCACTGAGCTGGTAAGTGTGAGCTAATTTACACACAACTAAACTGCACACTGTGTTCCTGTAGTACCGCCCCAGTCCGTCTGCAGAACAGGCTTGCATAGGAGTGTGCCAATTTGACTGTGTCCCCTTCTCTCTCTCTCATGGTTGAAGTACTGTCCATAAGGAACAGAACTACTGGAGTGCCATTAAAATTAAACAAAATGTTGTGAGTACACAACCGAAACATTAGCCAAACTATTGACTGAACAAACTAAGAAAAGTCGGTTTTAATTTTCTTCCCCTAATGCCTTTAACTGTCTTTAAGCCACTAAAACACATTTGAAAATTAGATCTAATTTTCAGGTTTACCAGTGAAAACTGGAAAATAAAATCTGTAACGGTAAAAAAGGAAAATTCTCTGTTGGACTTTTTCAGAAACAGTTTCAGTTATAGGGCTGTATATTGCCATGGTAGTAACACATAACATACACATACGTGGTAGCAACACATACTGCATGGCGCTGAGGGAATCTGGAGCTGAGCTTTGTTCTATCCTTCTCGAGCTACAGCAAGTGGAAAAACACCAATTCTCTTCTGCACAAAACAAAAAGTGTCCACCCATTTTTATCAGATAGAAAAAAAAGATTAAAAATAGACTTGATAAAAATTATGCTACTTGTGTTTTACACTCCGAGACATGTCTGTGAATTATACAGTCACCAAAGAATTATACGCCCACGCAGATATGTCCACCTATTGCTCCAATAAAGACTCTACTCATCTTAAAAGACTGCTCAACTGAACATTAAAACTGACGCGGACCTTCTCTCTAACCCCTATCATTTAACACTCACAGCAAGAGAAGCAAGAAGTTATGAATACGACTGGTCTTGCAGCGACATGTTCAGAACCAAAACGCACGACTGCAGAATAAAAAAAAAAATCGAACAACAAAATTCCTTTAGATAGTCTCATCGCAGAGTTTGCCATATTCAGCTATATCAGAATGAGCCAACGACTGGGGCTGCCCACACAGTGAGCCTATGAATGCTTTGGCGGCAAAGCACAGTTGCTGACAGCATCCGACGTTTCTCGGACTATGACATTTATAGCTTCATCGAGATCACACTTCAGCTCATCTTTAATGTTTAACATTCTGCTTCTTCGGGCACAAGGTTAATCCCCTGGATACCGTGCTCTATAAAACGTATTCTGGACCACTCAAGTCTCTCTCATCATGTTCTCTGCGGGATTCTTTACAAGGGTTTACCAATAACACTGAAGATGATCGGACCACTCTGCCAGCAAGAGAAGACTAGCACGTAGACAACCGTTTCTGCTGCGTTTCCTGCTAAAAAGCGCTGCCTTTCCTACTGCCTTTCTGCTACCTGTCAGAGCAGTTTGGGAGCTGATGAAAGTTTTAAAAAAAAACTTTTTTTTCCCTCCCAAGGTCTGTAAAAACACAAACATGTCACTTCTTTCACTCACCAAACCAGCAGACAGGCATGCTATTCATACTATCCATGACATTCTGTGGGCTCCCATAACAGTACCTATAAATTGAATTTTGGGGGGAAAAAATGGAATCATGGGATTACCTTTGCTACGCTTCTTAATACTAGTTTGCTAGTTTACTAAAAATGATGTCGATGCTAGTTGACTAAAAATGAAGAGTTTACAGTTCGTGAAAATGAAAATGTAGGCTACAGCGCGCTCCTAAAAAAAGCACCCAGCATGTAATTTCCCACTGTGTGAAAATCTCACTTTCAGTTCAGTTTTTGTCTAGCTGTTGCCTCTTGAACAGGAACATGCTATTAAGGAAGCAAGAAACAAAGGGGACACTCGAGGCGGCTGTGGTAGAAAAGAAGCCTTTCCATCTCTGCATACTAGACCATGGAAACTCAGCTGCCCCATCATTCGGCTTGGAAATAAAAAAAAAGTTCTTGTAATTATTCTTTAAAAGGTTATATTCCTAGATGTACAAAAAGTACACATTACCCTCAATGCTCTTCCTACCAGCACGTCAAGTTTCATCGACTAGAACATTAATCTGGGCAACAATACAGTGTATTTTCTGAGCACTCACCAGTTTAAATGGTG